CTCCTCACCGGAGGCTGCAGCCTCCTCTCTCCATCCCTGGGACACCATGACACTCACTCCCCAAGCCCTGGGGGTGCTGGTGCAGAGGGACGGGCTGTTCCCAGACACAGAGGGTGCAGGTCCCCTGGCAGGAGGTGAAGTGCGGAGAGGGGTGCCCTGGGATGGGGTGCAGGAGGGGGCTGGCTGCAGAGGAGGGTGGGCTTGCAACAGGGCCTCCAGTGGGGTGCTCTAGTGGCTTCAAATCAGGGGGTACATGGGGTGGTATTGGAGATGGAGTGGGAGACATTGGTGTGCAGTATTGGGAACTGGAGCAGGGGCTCCCTGTGACCAGGAGGTGAAGTGCGGAGAGGGGTGCCCTGGGATGGGGTGCAGGAGGGGGCTGGCTGCAGAGGAGGGTGGGCTTGCAACAGGGCCTCCAGTGGGGTGCTCTAGTGGCTTCAAATCAGGGGGTACATGGGGTGGTATTGGAGATGGAGTGGGAGACATTGGTGTGCAGTATTGGGAACTGGAGCAGGGGCTCCCTGTGACATCATGGGGTGGGTGAGGAGGCCCAGGGCAGCCTCTGGAGCTCCTGCAGGGACATGGGGGTCCCAGCACCCGACTCGGTCCAGCCTGCCTCAGGACTGGGGCATCACCACTGCCCTGGATTGCAATCCCCAGAACCAGGAGTTGCCCCCTCAGTGCAGAGGGGATGAGCCCCACCCAGGGGTCTGCTTCATCCTCCCTCCCTGGTGCAGGGGTGTCTGGACTAGGCTGCTGGTTAGGCATAGAGGTGTCTCGCCAGGAGAACGCCATTGCACTCACACTGCACCCTCTGCCCCAAAAGCACCCCATGCACCACGACTTGGGTGCCCCTTGCCCTCCCTCCCCCAGCTTGGGCACAGAGGGGTGTCAGAGGGGTAGGGCTGGACCCCTTTCCAGCGAGCCCCCAGCCCCAGGATGCAGCCAGCGGGCAGTTTCAGCAAGAGGAACTGGGGCTGGCACCAAGGGGATGCAGGTGGGAAAGGATCTGAGATAGACAAAGCTATCAGCCGTTCCTGGGGTGTCCTGCTTTAGTGGGACAGAATTTTACAGTCTGTTTTATGTTGAGGAAAACTACAATTCTGCAAGGACTACAACACTTAATGGGAACAAAGCTGATAAAAACTAGCTGGGTTTCAGCTAGTACTTGTGTGCAAGGTTGCCGTAGTGATCAAGGTCTTGCATGGCCTTGAGACAAGGAGTTGCAGAGTCTAGGAGGAACAGAAACCCAGGAGAGTCAACCCCAAGGTTATCTCAGGCTGACCAAATAATGCTATTCATACCATAAAGATCACATTCACTATAAACTGGGGAGTTTACTGGGGACAGCCCTTCTCTTCCTTCCTCCTGCTCCTCCTTCCTTCTTCCATGGTTGACATCTCGAGAGGGGCTTGTTTACCGTCTACCCCTGAGGCCTACTCCTGCACAATATTGGCCAAGTGAAACTCTGTGTGTTTTATATTATAACTGTTATTAATATTAGTTATGTTTTGTTTTGTTTTGTTTTGTTTTGTTTTCTATTTCTATTTCAACACATAGATCTCCTTTCCTTTTCTTGACCACCCTCCATGGGTGAAGAGGAGGCATCAGGTGATAGAGCACCTGTATAAACCAGGACACAGGGGTGTCCATCTGAAACAACCCCCATGCCTGAGGAGATCCCGTTCCTCTCCAGACACAGGCAATGTGCTTGCACTCGCAGGGGCAGGGTGACAGCCAGAAGAAGAAGCCCAAGGAGGGGAAGGCAGGCTTCTTTTGGGGCATGCAAGGCCTTCTCCAGGCTGGAAATGGAGGTGAAAGAAGCAGCAGATCTTGGCAGGTTTTCAATGCTGTCGTCTCTTGGCTCAGGGACAGTAAGGGTCCTGCTCTGGGCAGCCAGGTCATCCCCCTCCACCCCAGACAACAGCTTGCCACAGGGCAGCCACAGCCCCCCTGCACCCCAAAGCCATGAGACCGTGGGGCAGCCGCAGCAGACCCCTGCAGTGGCCTGAGGGAGGATTTCACCCCAGATTTTTCCTGCTCTGGAACAAGTCAAAGCTGCATCACTCTTCAGTCTCCTCCTTCCTGCACAGGCTGTCCCAGACCAGAGCCTATGCATAATGTCTGGAGAAATTGAAATAACAAAATGTTTTAACCTGCCATGTCCTGAAGGTGATGCTGTGTGCCCAGTGGAGCCTGGTCCTATCCTGCAAAGCAGAGAGCACTGGCAATGTGACCCCAGTGACTGCCCCAAGAGCAGCTTTCGGCTGTGTCCTGTGGTTGTCTGCTCCTGATGCTCAGCACTGCAGCTTCCCCACTGCACCATCCCCTCCTCTTCTCTTTCCTGCCCCAAAGGGTGCCCCAAGCCCTGGGGTGACCCGGTGAGGGGCACAGAAACCCCCTGGCCACACTCATCCTGCAGCCCAGCTCTGATGACCACCCTGCTAAAGCCCCCTGCCATGGAGAAAGCACTGGATGCTGGTATTAGGAACAGTCTCCTGGCTCTTGAGCTTTGCAAAATCCTTCCCATCAGCTCCAAATGATGAAGGAGAAGTTTACCATGGGGTAAACTGGGGAGCAGTATAAGTCCCACCAGCAGCCCATGCATACACTGCTCCTATCTCCTCCCTGTGCAAGGGGTTGGGGTTTGCAGCTCAGTGCTCTCTCCCAGGCTGCTGAATGTCAAACCTGCTGCTAGAGATGGGTCTGCAGCCTCTGCTGGTGAGGTGTTTGGAGGGATGGATACCTCCAGGCCTGGAGGCACCCCAATTGGCCCTTGGGCACTTCTCTATTGCACTTTCTTTTTAAAACACGATATTTTTCAATGGAGATAGAGTCACTTTCACCTACAGCTCTTCATAGGTAGGCCAGAAGGCAACGATGGGGTACTTGTGTTCATGGTCATGCTCTGAAGGTCTCACATGCTTCAAAGCAGCATCCAGCGTCTCCCTCCCTCCAAACAACCACCCAGCTGGGATATGGCGCAGGATGGATTAGGCAGAATTACAGCCCCAGCACCCAGAACTGAGTGAAACACGAGAGGGTGTCTAAGGACAAGGAGAGGAAGCTGCTTTGAAGTGTGTCAGGATGTTTATCTTGATGTCAAAAGCCCTAATTCACTTTTTGAAGGAAGCGGTCCCCCTCTTTGAAGTGAATCTTCCTTGCGCTGTGCCTGGCTGAGGCTCAGGGAGATCCTGCACAGACTTCACCCTCAACATTAATTTTTCTCATGTAATTTGCTTGAAAAAAACAACCCTCTCCAGATTGCAGCAGAGCAGATGAGGCAGAAGTGAAAACTCAGGGATGAGAGCAGCCGAGCTTTCCTCGAACACCCTGAGTAGAGGATGGGGTAGGGTGAATTTTTGAAGGCAGCCCTGAACCGGGGCATACCTGGGGTCTGAGACCGAATTTCAGCTGAAGGCAGCATGCAGGCAGATGGTCAGTGTCTGGGAACACTTGGCACCTCCCTGCAGCGAGGACTGCACCCCAATCCTCGGGTTGTACTAATAGGGTCCCTCAAGAGGAGCTGGGTGTTGCTCAGGACCCTCCCTGCAAAGAGGGAGGAAGCCTCCAGCTCAAACCATCCATCTTCCCTGCAAGAGATGCCTTCATTAGTTAATTAGAACAACAATCCCCAAGAGCTTGTCTGGGATTTGTAGCTGTGCTGGCAGGATATTTGCTGACTGCAGGCGAGCCCTGGGACAAGGCTCCTCTGGAGGATGCAGTGCTGGGACTTATGTCCCCTCCTGCTGAGCCTCTGGGTTGCCCTTGCTCCACGTCCATTTAATTTTAGCCAAAACACTCCTTCTCAAAATGTGGAGCCTTGGGTTTTGGCCCTGCAGGTGGTGAAGCATCTTTGTATAAAGTAAGAGTAAACTGTAATGTTCCCCTCAGTGTAGGCACCACTCACACTCCAACAGTGAGATGCAATGTGATTTCTTTAATACAGCTTCCACTGAGAGCACTGTTCATACATATCAACATATTGCTTAGCACTTGGTTCCCTCAAGGGAAATTTTACTGGTGGTATTTGAGTGGTGGGGAATGGTTTTTATGAGAAAACTTTAATCTGCAAGCCATAAAGGGAACGGTGGCTTTGCATCCCATAGAAAATGTTCTCAACCTCCGCTAACATGGTTTTATCTTCCTCTGCAGGCTTGCTTCTTAAGATAAATTTATCCAGGATTGCATTGGGTTTGATTTCTGTTGGTGTGAGGCTGATTTCTCACGAGAGCCACTGCCTTCATTTCCTACCGCTTGACAGCAAGCGCAGCTGCACTTTGTACTCGCAGACTTTGTTCTGGCAATCGCAGCCTGCGGGAGATCCTTCCCCTCCTTGCCGGCCACAGCGCCAAGGCTTCTCCTTTCCACAGCAACCCTCTGTGTTGATATACAGACGCTGGGTGTCTGCTCCAGGGGTAGAAACGTTTTATTTTCTTGTCCTAATGCAAAAGGCAAAGGCTGGCGGGACACGCAGGTCCTACCCCAAGAATTGTCTGAAAAAGGTAGGTCCAGGTCGCAGCACTCTGGTGCTCCCTTGGACACCCCCAAAAGCCTCATTG